TCCTAGTCGGCAAATTTCAAATGTCCGCTAGTGATGTGGCGCTACAATATTTGGCTATGTCTTGGCTACTTTAATATTATTTTTACGTGTTTTAGCTGGCAACACTCATTCGACCATGAAAGGGAGCCAGTATTTAAACGAGGCTTAATTTTCTAATTTTTAACGATACAATAGCGACGATTATTATTTTAAAAAATTTTTGTTAGGCTTAACATCAATGAAAATTCAACGCGAAGTAGGTTAATAGTGATATACTAATTACATGGGATATAATAATATACTACACTAATAATGGACTTTTTCATACTTTTCGGTTATCCGACTTTTCAATTATTCGACCAACCCCAGTCTCCAATTGAGTCGGATAATCAAGGCTCTACTGTATACTGAAAATTTAAAATGTCATCTGGTTTTTTTGGTAAGTACAGTGAATTCAAAAAATAGTACTTAAATTAATCATTTTTTAGCATTAAAATCCTGTGAAATCAATTACTGTATATCAGTTAGAAATTAGAATCATATTATATGCAATACAAGTCAATAGCAATTGAAGAAATAGATAACACTGTGAATGCGAATGTAAAAAAGAAAAGGATATAATTACTGCATTGTATCACTAAATAACAAGTTATTAACAAAATATGAATACAAAAAATGTGAAAAGGCAATTTGTTTATTATGCGTAGAAGTCTTGTACAATATGTATAAATTTAATGATGCATAATAAATGGTTAGTAAACACAGAAAAATCTTTGCATAATATGAAAAATAGAGAGAAATTATTTTTGTACTTGTAGTTTTTATTTTTNAAAATCTGCTGGTTGTTTCAACATCTGCCATTACACCAGACATAAAGAAGATTGCCGCCAGCATCCAATCTCAGCCATCACATTAATTGCTTGGAGGTCCAGCAGTAAGTCAGTAAACTTAATCCTAATTTGGCCCTTCTTCACAAAAGGTTGTGCATTCCTGATATAATGAAGATTTACTTCTTTTATTTTAAATTTGGTAATTTTTCTAATATTTACTGAATATTTTGCAATTACAATTCTTAAAATTTGATAGTGGGATTAATAGTGCATTCCTAGTTATAACGATTTAAAATTATGTGAAAAAACATCAATTATCAGAATAATATCCTGATTACAAACACAATTTAATAGATGATTGCAGAAGATGAAATTTACATTTAAATAACTTCTAATCTACCCAGAAATTTTATTTGAAAGATTTCAATTCTAGCTACACATTTTGCTTTATCACATATTTTACTGTTCATTTGTATTATAAAAAAAAATTGATATTTGAATGCGAGGTCTAGATCTAGCTATAGATTTCAATGTCCTATTACTCCTTACTATTTCATTATTCTAGTTTATAATTTTTTAATAAATGAAATTAAGATTAAAAAATATTATTATTAATTTCCGTTTTTAAAATAATTGGTTTAAATTATTACCATAATTAAATCATCAACAAATGCTTTCAACAAAACACAGTAAAATCAATGTAACATCATATGAATTTTATATGATATAACTGAAAATGATACCTACCATTCTCCCAGTATTTGACATACAACGTACTTTAGTGGCTCCAAAATGCTGAAGCAATTCTTCTTTCTCTTCAGTAGTAAATTCAGAAGGTAAGTGCTTAATTATTAAAGTTGTCGATTCCATAATTGACAATTTTACTTCAATGAACCAAAAACTGCATTATAGGAAATAAGATATATAACATCACATTTATAATAGTTTAAGTTTTACAACATATAAAACACATCTTAAATTAGAATTATTGCTAAATTTTAAAAGTTTTTAAATAAACTAAATACATTGCATAACATAAATGATATTCTTGTAATTTTTGATATTTTCTTTGCAAAACTCATAACAATTATTATAAAATACGTTATTAAATTTACGGATCAAACTATTTGGTTAAAGATTGTAATTATGTAAGTAAAAAATATTCATTAAAAGTTGTTGAATATCCTTAGAAATATTTATAAAAGTGAATTAGCCACTGTTAGAAATATTTAGAGCTCATCATTTTCGTTTTACATATACAGTTGTCCCTCTATAGTCCGACGTTTTTTAATCCGACATGCTCAGTAGTCCGACAAACCTCCCGTCAAGGTACCCGTCCCCGTTACGTGTCTGCTTGCACAGAAGCATGTCGCGATGTGAATCTCCCCATCCAATTTTTACACGATGACACNAGGGGTGGCCAACAGTTTTTTCCTCCGGGCCGAATTGGAAAGAAAACTTTCTTCACTGCCCGAATCAGAGGCGGCCCTAGCAAGATTTTCAGGTGATGCGAGATCTTATTGTGGTGTCACTCCATAGAGACTAAACTGTACATAGAGATTACAGATACACTTTTCACATTGGGTACAGAAAGCCGTTGACTCTTTTTTTTTTTCTTTAGGATCAGAATTTTTCAACTTTCCTATAAATTCACATCGTCAGGTTGTAGAGAATTATTGCAGATCCATTCAAAGTTCAGTCCAATATTCAGAGATTAATTGTGGGCTGCAGTACACTACACCCAATTAAATTAGCTTCAACTTTTTATTTCTTTTTGCAAATTGGCTCAACACTTTTTTGGCTGTGATTTTTCTGGGGAGGGCACCAGGTTAACTGGGGAGGCCGTGCCCACCCATGCCCCCTTCCTGGCTATGCCCATGTATAGATTTAATCTCTAAATCTTATATACATGCTGAAATACTAAGTATACTGTTTTAATACGTCAATATCACTTGACAAGTAGTTTCTTTTAAGAAGCTTTTCACTTTACATTCAAATTATATATTTTGTTTCACAACTTTATTGTTTTGAAATGAATTATTAAAGAATATCACTAAACTATCTTATTAGAAACATTGTCAGATAACAGAATCTAGCTACATGTTGCTAGATTTAGTGTAGTTAGTTATTGCTAATATTTAGTGAGAAAGTATATTTATATAAGTGCTTGCTTTTGCATATTAAAAAGAATATAAATTGTTGGTAAACATAATTTTTTAAAATTAATAATTCAAAGAATGAAAATTTCTTTACACTTTATTATACTTTTGGTTATGTTTAGAATGATTTTAAGCAAAAGTGAATAATATCTCTTTATTAGATATTTTAAGTTTTTCATAATGTTGTAGAAATATGTAATTTATGCTGCATAAGAAATTTTGTTTACATATGTCCTGTACAAAATATCTCGTTTTGTTTTCTATATTATATTTATTGTATATAATATACATTTACTTATATATATTATAGTGTATAATAGTGATGTACTGTACAAGTAATAAAGCTTTTACATGCAGCATATAAACTTTGTTTATTTGTAATTACATTGTTNCATACCTGTCGGATTATCAAGGGACAACTGTATTACATTGACTATTTTATTTACAAAACTCATGGATAATTAGCCAAATTTGTCAATTAAAAATTCTTTACATTTACATCAAGTAAAGATGTGCATTCACCAGTAATTTCAAAAAAGAATAGAAAATTTTCCAAAAATCTTTTCCTAATTAAAATTTATTTAGTTTTTTTACTTATATTGTGTCCTGTGTTCTATTTCTATACTACTCATGAATTAGCAATCACATTAGGTGGGAATTTGTATTAAAACATTTTTATTCAAACACATTTACGGATCCTATCAATGATTCAATCAGGATTTTGGCTCCCCCAAGATTAAATCCTGAGTGTGCCAATGGTATACTGTTTATCATACCTATTAATATATTTAAGAAACATACTTATTTCTCAGGGAATTAGCAATTTAATTGGCATGATAATCCACATGCAATATTCCAGAAATAGTTTTTTTTACAAAATTTGCTCATAAGTTAAAGTATTGTCTGTTAGACTCTTCTTTATAAAATTTAAACACATGTATTATATTCAAATTTCTCAAATTGAAACAACACTGCTCTGTGTTATTTAAGCTGTTGAAATTTTTTTTCATTATTAAACAAATTAATTTTTCATTAATAGTAAAAAAATTATAAAATAATAATTATTAATAACTCTAACAACAAAATTAAACAGATCAAACTTATTTTTAAAATAAATTTTTCAATTTACCTAAATATTAATCCATTCACATGTGTTTACTTTACTATACATTTCACGCGGAATAAGAATAGTGTTGCCAGTTTTAACATTCCAAAACCTTTTTAAATTTAATATTTTTAATAAAATTGCAATTTTGTATACTAAAATATGATAAAATGTTATAATAAATTATTATAGTTATTTATTTGTTCATCTCCGTTTTGGATGTTTTCAAGTGACAGGCAACTAAATACTGTAATCTAATGGCGTAGTTCAGAAAATGTACGTTTTCTCTAGCGAACTATTTATCTGTTTGTCATTTAGAAACACACTTTTGCTTATATTTCTATTTTACATTAATCATTTATATTTCTGAAAAGATGTATAGATTTGAACTGCTTAAAAATAACTATTAAATGAATTACAATAATAAATGGCCCAAGGCAGAAGCAGTTAAGGCGTTGTCTACCGCTCTAGAAAACCCGAAATCAAATACGAACAAGCAATTCCAAAAATCTTTTCGTGGGCGGATGTTCCAAATATGTCAAGTCTTCACTTCACAGACACATCCAATGTGGGCCTTGCCGAATCCACAATGGATATAGTTATAAACGCAATCTTAATGGCTCACAAGTTAAAAAAGCGGGCCGGACGGCAGGTCGAACGATGAAAGTGACAGCCTACCATTCTGGGAGACCGAATTCGAATCCGGACGGGTCAAATAATCCCCAGGAATTTTTCGGGTGATGGTCCGTTCAGATATGTCGTGCCCCGTCCCTCACCACCCGGCCGCCCCATTGTGAGTCTGGCCGAACCCGTAATGGGCTCGCAAAAAGAGGCCCTCTTAGATGCCCACAGGGCGAAAAGAGTAAAAAAAATATTCAAAACTAGTTTAAAGTTTACGCTAGTGCTGCTTGGGAATTTCTAATATAGTTTCCAATTTTTAAACTGATTTTGCATGTTGGTAACATTGTCGTGAACATGAAGGTAAGGAGATAAGGTGATACCTATAGATAACTTTCAGTATAATGATAATTAAATTTTATTCCATTGAAGTAAGGCAATAAAAGATAATGTATACAGTATTATCGATAATAATTACTGGTATGCCAAAAATCAAGTTGAATAAAAGACCTTGAAGTTTAGTTAAATACAGGAAAGTTATATTTAATTTCATTCATTAATTTAAAATCAAAACAAGCATAAAACAAAAGATTTATGGTTAGTTTCTTTGATAAATGATTATTAACCGCTAAAGCTGTCTTATCTTTTAATCAGCATTGTCTACTTTTTAAAGTTTAAGTATATTACGAACCGTTTTAATGGTTTAATGTATCCTCATTACAAGAAGTTATTCATCAAGGTGTTGGAATCGAAAGAAACTTTACTAGCTTAAATGTAATGACGATTATAATAAGTGATTACAATATCACAGCAGAGGGACAATTTCCTGTGAAACAACGGTACAATTTAAAGGAACAACCGTGTATGACTTTCTCCTTCCTGAATACATGCGACCATACGGTTAAGCATAGAGAGTCCAGGCACAATATGACATCATGCGACAGATTTGACCACAGAAGTTACAACTTCCATTTCAGAACCTTCACACTCGTACATGGTTGAAGCTAGCATCCCAAATGGGACCAGAGCTTCCAGTAGCGTAGCGTAGGGGGGCGGCAGAGGCGGCACTTTTTAGGGGCCGGCAAAATTTGACAATAAATAATAATAATATCTTGTAAGAATTTGAACCATTTTATTTCATATTTTCGTCCACCTACGATTCGGACCGACTGAAATGAGCACGGAATAGTGTTACCATACGACTCGCCGTCCGGGGATATCGTGCGCGACCTGTCGACCGTTTTTTTTTTTTTTTTTTTTGCTTATACTCATATCTACCTCCAATATCCAATAGGGCTAAGTCATCCAGATTACTTACGTTAGTCCTAGCCAAGTCTCCCTAGTGGCTAACTGTAACTGATTTAGAACCAGCATGCACTGCAATTTATTCTTCATTGCAAAATGATATATGCATGCGTCAGGAACTTCTGTTCGAAGAAACCTCACCTGCCGTCAGGGTCGGCGATTTTAAAAAGGTGGCAACACTAGCACGGAATTTTTCATTACTTATTCTGTGACCAAACTGAATTTTAGTCTTTTAAATTGAGATACCTAAATAAGAGGGCGGCGAAATTTTCCTCCGCTGACACCCACGCTACGCCACTAAGAGCTTCCACAAATACTAGGTGGGCAACAAGTATGATCATATTCCTGGATAACGCTTCTGTGCGGCCAAGCATTATCTTGCTGGAAAATGGCTATTTGCAGCCCTTCCACTTGAACTTGTTGCTGGACCTTCAATGCTCTTTGCACCATTGCTAGATGTGACCGAAGATAGATTCTAAACTCGGTGTGCCACTTAACAGTAAAAATATGATAAAAATACTCACCAATGGATCTCCACAATAATATAATGGTCATCCGATCCAAAACAGAAGAGTAAATATGATACGCTCCCAGCATCCCAGCTTCATTCTAGATGTGTTAAGCTATATGATAGACAAAAGAAAAGAGGAAGTACAAGGCTAATACGATTTCTAACCCAAGTCGTCTTCTGGTCCTGACAGGTCGAGTCCAAACACGGAGAATAGCTCACTGCTCTTACTGATATGTTTTGAAATAAATAAATTTTTTAATTACACGACAATTACAAATATTTCATATAACAGTTTAGTTATATGAAATATTTTATTTTCGTAATATCTGGAGTAAAATAATAAGAAAAATGCGAATATTGTAATCTTAATAACACCTTCCTAATAACGGTTGGTTTACCTTTCTGAGTGATTACGACTTGCAAACACTGGGTAGCATATTCTTATCCTATATTCTTAATTAATAACCAAACCCACATTTGTTCGAGCAGTTTTGTCAGTGCACATTTCCGGTAGGAGTGGGTGAATGCTGCAATGTGTGGTAACAACCTCACCAGACGTTTTAGCATATCTCAATGAATCAAGTTTGTGGAATTTATTGTCGTGTTCCTCTCATCATTCCAAAGTGAGTTTCGTCTGGTGACATGTTCGTTATCATATTGAAACATGGCATCTTTGTCAGAAACATAGTCTGGAGATACGGGTGAGGATGAACACCTAACAGGTCTCATTATCGTTCACCACTCAAGTATTGTGGGATGACGAGCAATGGTCCTTGCCAAGAGAACACTTTCCAGACCATGATACCCCCATCACAGCTCGTGGAACCCTGTCTGTACAACCAGGGGATGCGGCTTCTTGCTATTTATGACAAATTAGGACCTGGCCATCAGTGTGGTTCATCGTGAAATAGGATTCGTTACTCCAAATGACCTTCTTCCACATGTCCGAGGTCCGATGACGGCTTTCCCTCGTCCCTGCAAGGTGTTGTTTGCAATGTCGCGTGGTCAATAGACGCACCCGTGCAGGTCAACGGCTACCGAACTCCAGCTGATGCAAGGTACATCACATGGTCATTGTCGAAACCCGTCTGCCTTGACCACTGTTATAGTGGGCGTAAGCTGTTCCACTGTAACACGTCTTTGTTCAGATGCCAGTCTTAACACGTGACACTCACGTCTGGAATCAACCATACGTGGGCTGGTCATTGTGTGAGCTTTTTATGGATGTTTGTGCATGGTCCGTCTACTCATGGTACAACCTGAGTACCGTGGTACGAGAACAACCAACGAGTGCAGCTGTTTCAGAAATACTGGTACCTGCCCGGCGGCTCTAACGATCTATCTGGCAACTATTGGCTTCTACTATGTAAATGACAAGTAAACACCTCACACATCACAACTGCAGTGAACTGTAACATGCAATTACAGATTATCCCTTTACCACTTCCGAGAATCGGTGAGGAAATTACACAAAACGATCACTCCCAATGCATTGATCGTTCAGAGTAATTTCCATTAGAAAATTCCATCCATTTTTTCGACAACAGCTTATCTTTTATTATTATTATTTTTATTTTTACAAGCAAATGGAAATGTCAGTCGACAATGTTCAATGTTATTTTATATGTTATTCAATGCTAGTCATATAAAAAAGTCCTTGAAGATCAGATATACAGTATAACACAAACTAAAATTTAATTATATTACAAACAATTACAGTTATTACAGTTATTACTTGATTGCATTTTAAGCATAATTACTTTCGACACAACGCTCTACTTAAATAAATAATTGTAAATAACTATTTATTTAGCCTGACAATTAATTATACTAAGAAATGTTTTGATGACAAATTTTTCACGGATTCACGGATAAATCGGCGTATTAAAATTGTTAATTGTTATTAAAATTGCAAGTCCATTAGGGGTTCGACCATACCTACAATGGGGCAGCCGGATGGTGAAGGATGAGTTCAATATATCCGGATGGACCACCCCCGAAAAATTCTTGGGGTTTTTCGATCTGCCGGATCCGATAAGTGTCACTTAAGCCACTCGGCCAGCAACGATACAAATGTTTGCAGTTGGCAGCTTCAAGAGGTCAATTTTTAGTGTAAAATTTTCTATTTAACATTTAACTAATCCATAGATTTCGTGATAAAACACGGAACTCTGAAATTTAATGAGTAAACTTTACAATATACGGGTCATATCTGATGAACTATAAAATATCAAATCAAATTTCACATTAAGACATAGTATTGCTAGACCAGTGATTGTTTTACACAACATACGCAACTTTGTCTAGGGCCCCGCATTTTTAAGGAGCTCGGATACCTACAAGTATCTGCAAAATGATATTACAGTCCACTCCCTATAACACTGTTGATTATTCCGTTTTATATGAATTCCATGTTGTACGAGTCACTTAGATTTTACAAATACGTGAGCCGTTTACAGCCCGGCACACGTATTCGTAAAATCTAAGTGATTCATACAACATGAAATTCATATAAAACGGAATAATCAACAGTGTTATAGGGGGTCGACTGTATACTAGGAGTGCTTCCAGTTAATTACTTGCTAAGCTAGAGCATCTCATTGGTCAACACTAAAAGAAATGACATCATCAAGGGCGCATGGCCTGGTAAAGAGGTTTTTAATACAGATGAATAAGCAAACCAAACCGTTTCATTCGAAACGGGCTATGACATTAAAATGGGCCTGACAATTCCACGCTTGTCTAGGGCCTGGTATAACTATGTTAACTGGAACTGTACAAAGTGAATAAGAATTATATTTTTCTATTTGATTAATATTGTATTAGGTAATATGATATTAAATTTGTATAGTTTAAAGAGCAATTTACACGGTGGTATAAAATTACATTAGCAACAAGCATTTACCTTTTTAGGACATAAAAATCATATCAGGTAACAGTAATTGTCTAGTAGAAACATATTTTAACAGGTTTTTTAGAATAATAGAAAGAAATATTCTAACAATTACATGCAAAAAGAAGTAATCGAACTTATTGGTGTAGAAAGTGGGTCAATTCTCATTTACAATTTAATCATACTTCACATGCTTACTTCAATATATCTGTAGGATATACTCATTTGAATTAAATTTTCCTACAGACATATTTTAATTCTTATAATTATTAAATAAAACATGAATTAAAAATTCATTGACATTAGTTGACTGAACTTAATAAAAGTAAATAATCTGTTTTCTCCTTCTTCCTACTTTTAATTAAGTTTAATTCTTTTCTTATTTGGATACAAGTTAGAACTATAGAACATCATTTTTATTTAAAAACTTTTAAAAATATTTAACGAAAAAAATAATTTCTCCTATTTTAAATACCACTTTTAATTCTTTTCAGTGTATTTATAAGGTTTGATGTATAAAAACATTTGTTCTTCGATCAAATAAATTCATTTATCGATTTTCTCATTTAACCTATTTTATAATCTATAATTACGTGTAATAAATATAATTTAGACATATAGAAGTATATATAATAACTAGTAACTTAAATATCTATTTTTATACACATAATAATGATAAATTCCTTAACATTATTATATATATATATGCTTAAACATTCTTATGTAAAATGCTATTTTATTATAATTTCTATTGTACAAAGTTCTTTTATACAATAGAAAGTACAAGAAATATTAAAATTATATGATCCAAAAATACAGTACAGTAATTGTTTTGAAACCAGAGTATTTTTTATAACATATTAAATAGCACAATAATAATATTACTTCATATATTTGTCTAAAAGATTATATAATTTACTAATCATGCTATTAGAATATAAATATGTTTATTTACTTTAAAAATGTATATAAACTAAATTTTATAACAATAATAATAATAATAATAATAGATCATATTTTTGACCTCATTTGATATTATATCCATGGAGAAGCAATTTAATAATTACGCTATTTATAAATCAAACTCTCCTATAATTTTTTTTCCATTTCACTTTTTCATGAGGTAAAAATTACTAAGCTCACGTCTTCTTATCTTTAGTTAATAACTTAAAATTTATTACCCATAAATTACTGCATAAGATAAGAGATTCCAAGAAACTATTCCAATTATTTCTCAACGTTTTAGTCTTTAAATTAATAAGGAATTATGAACATGGTGCCAATGTTAAGAATACATTTTTAATTTCAAGTCACCTGCTAATGTAATACTCTCAGATCAAACTAATACATTTTTCAAAAGAGGGAAAACGATACTTTAGTGATTGCTTCCCTCTTAGGGCCGTCTCAAAGGGACAAAGTCTAACAAGGGGAGGTAAGGGGAGGGTCGAAGTTCAGTGGACTTCCGTTCATTTCATTAAATTTTATACAATTTATGCATTTTATTATATTTATTTCAAAGTTTCTTATGTGTTTCGTTTCTATTTATGGTATTATATCCATCATTCATAAACTGATAAAGGTTTTAAGGGGTGGTTGAGTTCTGTTGAACGTTCAAAGAGGGGAGGGGATTAAGGAAACTTGGACAAACTGGGATAATGGGGGAGGGGAGTAAAAATTTCAGGAAAAATGCCCCTTTCCAATTTATAGACAGCCCCTTACCATAACAACCTCCTCTCTCTTTTTGGCCAGATCCTCTTCCTATAGTCCTGTTTACTGTATACAAATCTGCAGAATAAAGGCTAGCTGTTTAATATAATAATTTATATATAAAATTTCGATTTATTTTCAAAAACAACGAATATAAAAGACGTTTTTCTTAACTTCTACACAATAACGTTTAACTAGATAGATAGCTGATTTATCATTGAAAAATCATGTCAGAAAAATGATAATTTATTCAGATATAGATTAACGTCCTTATTAGCATTCCAAATCCGTCCGAATATACTTTCAATAATCGATATTAATTAATCATTAATGAAATCAATAATAAATTTGACTTATATTCACTTAACAATTTGGTTTCCGTATATAACACGCACCGATATGTAATTAAAATATTTTCTGAATAAATTAAACTTATAATATTTGATTGATTGCTGAAGTGCTATTTTATGAGGTACTCGTGCTAAATTTACGAGTAAAGATTATGTGATTTATGGCATGTTAAACGCAAGCTACTCTACAACAATTATTAAAAATTTGTCTCGTCTCTGACGTTCTCTCTTACGTCATTTCCGTCAGCTGGAATAGTTACCAATCGCGTGCTACAAACACGTGGGCGGTCTTACCCTCTGCCATATCCTCCTATATAGTAATGGCTCGTCTCATCCCTGTACCTTTACCTTTTATATCAATCAGATCTTATCTATTTTTGTATGTACTATTGAGATTATAGACGCTATTGATGCAATGCATTATTTTAAAACATAAATCGTCAGTCTATGTATATTAAGCCAAGTAGATTTGTAAGTAACTTAAAATAATATTCATTCATTCTAATTAGGTCTTTGCCCTTAAGTGTTCTACTTTTGTTTCTAATGTCAAGGTTTCTTTTTGACCTACTTTCTTTTTATTTTTTGCTTTGTTGTAAATTGTCAATTATTCTTTCTGCTTAGGAATTCCTAATAAATATTATTAAATGCAGGTAATATTTTTAATATTAATTATATTATGTGAGATTAACAAATAATTTGTTTAATTAAAATTATCCATTTATTGCCATTTATATTTATATCAAATATTGGTCCAATTTTTTTCTTTAGTGCATATATTTCTTCTCTATATATAGCACTTATAAAATATATATATTAATTTAGTCTATAGATAAATATTTTAAAAGAAATCTATATATAAATAATAGTTAAATCACCTTTACCTATCAAATCTATGTAAAGATATCAAAAGTTTTATCACATATTCAAATGATACTTTGGTATTTTTAAGGAATTTTTTTCCTAAATAACTTTTATAATATTTCTATTAAAAATACCAATTTAGTTATAAAATAGTTTATTCAATGAATGATATATTCATCACTTTCAGAGTGAATTGCGTAAAATCAGTTTTCTGCCATTTCATCTCAATATATACAGTATATGTTTTCAATCTTAATTTAATATCATTTATCTGTAATGCAGGAAAGAAAAAATAAAATGGAATAAGTGAACAATGGTTTTCAAATATGAACTGTACACAGTTGGTGACTTCAAATTACATTCCAACAACTGCAGAATCCCTTGAAGGTAAGATATGAAAAACTTAAATATGACCTGTACTTTTAGTATCGATTAAGTTTTAAATGAATAAATAATAATTATTCATAGAATTTAATAAAAGTTTATTTATAGCATCTGGAACATTGGGAATTATTCTTATAACTGTTGGAGGATGTGTTGCTGCAACTATGTTAGGAATTTTTTTAGAAGAATCTATTTATTTGTATCACCATTGGCCACTTAAAATTTATTTATATACTGTAGGATGCCTTAGTGTTTTTCCGGTAAATAAGCTTAAAATAAAAGCCCTGATTTACATTATGTATGGTATTTATACGATTATATATTATCGTATTTTTAGATTTCTGGTCTTAGTTTATTTTTGTGCCTCTTGGTGCCAAGAGCTGGGAGAACTCTTACTGCATTTATTAAAGTGTAAGTTTTTAATTGAAATATTTTTACAGTTATAATTACATTTCTATTAACTATAATTATATGAATTAAATTAATTATTAAATGTGTATTTTATATTTTTAACATTTGAAATTGCAGAGTAAAATTTATAATTCTCAAAAACTCAATATATTAATTTAAATTTATATATTGTGATGAAAATCCTGTATTATTCATTCATATATATAACAGATCTGATTGAAATATATAAAAACTTGAATGGTAATCCATATGAAGATTAAATCTTTCAAGTCTAGCAAAGGGCTTAAAGAACAATCCATTAAAATTCTGAAATAAATAACCTGACCATGGCTACTAAAAGTACTGAAAATGTTTGTTCTTTAAATATATTGAGATTTCTGGACTTCAAAGATTTGATATTAATTTTGGGGGGCTATATCTTGCAAAAAATCACATGTAGAGGTATGGTTCCTTTGACTTTTTTGCTTATAAGAGTATGCTCTACAGCTCTGTTAAGGTCCCATCCGTCTCATTCAGAGCTTGAACTGAGCCATAATGAATGTATAAATTGTGCAGTTTATTTATGATCTTTCACAAGATAACATAAATAGCATACAATTATTTATTGTCTGTTTTCCCCCTGATAATTACTCAATTCATTGAACTTAGGCTTTCAAACAATAAGTATACAATTCATTAAACTTTAGCTTAAAATTTTTATAGTAATAAAATTTATATTATTAGCATTAGATATATAATTTTGTACAGAAATCTTTAAACAAAATAATGGTGTCTACTTCTAACATGATAGACTTGTCATATATTTCAGAAAATACATAAAAATTCTAAATTGATAGATTGCATTAATGAAAGGACAATTCATATTACACTTCAATGTACGGTACCATAAATTACTATAACAAAATATTCTTTACAATTTAAGAATTTTAAATTCCAAAAAGTTATATTATATTTAACAAATCAAAAATTAGGAAATTTACAATCATTGAAGGTGTAACATTAGACTACGGGAAATAGACTTGCACCACTTTCATAATAAATGATTATGCAATTTCATTTAACGATGAATTTTCAATTGATTAAAACTTATAGATATTTTAAAATATCAACTGTAAATTTTGTATATAAATAAAAAGTTTGCACTAAATTATATCTGAATTATTGTTTTCTCAAATTTTCCGAAAATAAACTTACACCAATTTCATAAGAAACTATCCATATATCCTTTTATTATTAAACATTCAGATTTAAAAAAAATCTCTTGTTTTACTTCTATAGAGATTGGGAGTTATTTTTTAAAAATAAATTAGAATTGTATATTCAGTCAAAAAAAGTATGGTAAATTCTGGCTATAGTTGATACCGATATACAAAAATATGAGACAAATAGATCTCATTTGGAAAGCTTGTTTAACAAATTTCCTCTTGCTTATGTATGATAGCAGATTCATTCTGTCAAAGGTCTATCTTAGTTTAATTTTAACATCATTTAAAAGCTTCTTTGATAAAAAGTATACTGTCATCACTATTTCTGTTGGTTAATCCAGTATTATTATTAAAGAGAAATATTGTTTTTTATTTTTACTTAATTACCTTAAAATTGCCATTTTCCTTCTGTTTATTACATGTCCAAATTTATATTGTTTCCTAATATATTTTAGATAAAAATTTTCAACACTTTACTGATTACTGATTGAATAAGATCTTTTCAAAGCCTGAAATTCTTCTTACTTTTATCAGCCATTTTGATAATACAGTAATTCTTTATTCTGATGTGGATATTGAACCAAATTTGTAAATATGATTAAGGAAAAACTTTGAGGATACAGATAAATGTGTTGTTCATCTGCACTATGCCTCTATGTGCATACTGTTAACTATGTATATGCATTTCTATTTCAGATATCTGCCATTTCCAATGATCTTCTTTTTCCAACTAGTCATTTGTTACATGGATAATAAAGAACGTACTGTTGAGAGATTATTAGGAAATAGCATCCCTCTACAAGGTCCTCCACTTTGTTGTATTTGCTGTTGGTGTCCATCACCATCTTTTACAAGGTAAAATATTTTATTCATAAAATAAATCATAATTTTATCAGTTACAAAATTTTAATCCATAATATGAAACAACATTATAAACCTAACCAAGCTAGGCAATAGCCCAAAATTGGCTTATCCTAAATTCAGATAAATAGTAAAGTTTGGCATTAAGAAGAGCATTCTGTCAAAACTTCTTATGATGAGTATTCAAAGCTTGAAAGATAATGCTAGGGCATACTGCACAGGCAACATGCAGACTCAATATCTAGAGACAATGAAAAATAGGCAAGAATTATTGGACATCATAAGGAGCAAATGAAGCTAAAGAAATGAACAACTATAAGAAGAATATTAAGGATGGAACCCTTAATATTGGTAGTGTGACAGGAAGAGGAAAATTTGCAGGCTGATGAGAAAGCAAAGATTGAACATACTGTATACTCAGGAAACTAGATGAAGTGAGACAAGGGAAGAGAATTAAGAGATTGCTATAAGATTTTCTGCAGTGGAGCTAACAAGCAAGGAAGAAATGACATCGGTATTATTTTGCCAAAAGAATTGTGTAACAGAAGTTTTGTATCAATTTTGTATTGGACACTGTTTCACATAAAAAAACGTAGTTAATTAACAATTAACTTTATTCACTCTGGGATACAACTGATTGGAGTGATGACTACACAAAAACTGACCCAGAGAAAGAAAAACATGTTCGAATTCCCATCTCGATGCCCTCTTGTGGCCTCTTGCAACAAGGAAGGTTACAACAAGAAGTATGCTGCAGAGAAGACAGTTTCATTCTGATTAATCAGACTTTGGAATGGAACTAAAGGTGATCAATGCATATGTCTCACAAGTTGGATGAACAAATGAAGAAAAAGATGATTTTTGGAATATGATAAAGGATGAGATACAAGTATTAGCAGAAACAAAGAGAATGATAATAGGAGTGACTTGAATGAACACATTGAAAGTCACAATGAAGGTATTAAACCAATCCATGGAGAATATAGAATTGGACAGGTATCACCAGAAGGTAAACAAATCATAAATTTTGCAATAGCATCAAACATGCCTTAGGAAATTCTTTTTTAAAAAGAATATAGAGTACTTCCTCATATACAAAAGTGATATCATACTTGTTTACAAATTGATTTTATCTTATTGATTAAAAAACATTTCAAAGAAACAAAGAATTGTGAAATCATACCAGTGATTATGTATTAGCACAACACTGACTATGCTGCATAAACCTATAGATAGAGATTACAATATTAAAAATAATTGTAATGTAGCAGTGTGTGAGGAGGAAGATAAACTAAAAAAAAAGAACCAAAACAAGTTCAAAGCAGTGATACTATAGAACACATATGTGAGAACACACAGAAGTAATGGACTGAGAATGCCTATACTCAAGGAGTATGGAAAGGAAATACTAGGGAAAACATCAGGAAGGTTATAAGAAAACTAGTGGTGAAATGCATAAGCAGCAGTGCAAACAAAGAATCAGCAAAGAAAAGATGGGAAGAAACAGTGCTAACTATAGATTTTGGGAGTACAGATAGAAAAAAATAAGAAAAAAAATTGCCAAAATTAAGGCCAAAGTGTATGAAGAAATGTGTAATGAAATAGAAACTAGGAAAGGCCAGAAGATATGTAGACTGGCAAAACATCAGACATAGTTAATAAAGATATCACACAGGTGAAGCAGATAAAAGTAAGCAATGGAGAAATATAGTGTAGATAGGAAGAATATTTCTCAGAACTACTTTATGGACAAGTAATGAGGTGAAAATAGAAACAGAAAAATCAAATGCAGAAATCTATGGTTCCTTTGACTTCCTGGCAGGTAAATGGAAAAGTAGTTGGACCATATGTGATCCAATGGAGACATGGAAAATCTTGGAAAAGAGGGAATAGATATATTATGGAATTTAATTTATAAAGCACATCAGCAAAAGCAGATACCAAATGAATGGAAAAAAGTATAATCATTTCAGTTTTCAAAAGCTAAGGGAATGTTCAGGACTGCAGGAACTATGGAGGCCTAAAGTTCATACACACTGAAGCTATGGGAAAGAATCTAGACAGAAAACAGGGAAGAAGTAGCTATAAAGGAAGGATAGTTTTGTTTCATTCCAAGAAAATCAATTACAAGATTTGATCTAAGATAGACGATAAAAAAGTTCAGAGAAAAAATGGCAGGAACTATATCTGACTTTTGTCAATACAGAGAAGGCCCCCACCACCTGGCCACCCCATTGTGGTCCTAGCTGAACCCATAACAGGCTTGCTAAAAGAAGCTGTCTTAGTTAGTGCCCACAGGGTAAAAAGAGTTAAAACAAAAATATAGAGACGGCTTATGGTAGTCTCTAGAGATGTAATCTGGTACATCATGAAAAACAAGAATGTACCTGAAATGTATGTAAAGTTGATTCAGGTAACATACAATGAAGTGTCTGCTAGAATGAGAAGCAGTCTGGAAAAACAAATAGCTTTGAAGTAAAGATAAGACTTCAGGATTTGGTTTTAAGTCCCTTTCTTTTTAACACTATGATGGCAGTAGCAACAGAAAAGACCAGATGAAAAAAATCATGGAGTGTATTATATGCAGATGACATTGTTCTCTGTTCAGAGACAAGAAATAGAGCACAAGAGAAACTGAAAAGTTGGAATAAAGCAGTGAAAGAAAATGGTCTAAAAGTTTAAAAGAGCAAGACAGAACACACTTACTGTAAAAGTAAAGAAAGAAACAGTCAGAACTTTAGGAGAGAGTATCAAGAGAGTTTAGTTTCAAATATCTTGGTTTGATAATGTATAGCATTATTTTCAATTCCTGATTCATCTATAAATATAAGCTTATTCTTTGGAAGTTTTGCAATTATTTCTTGAAACTTTTTCTTTGCTCCAGCATTACTTTTCAGATGAGAAAGTTTTTTATAGCTGCAATCAAGTTTTATTACTGCTCATTGTATTGTTGTCACAGATACACTTTTTGGCCACATCTTTGATAGTTCTTGTAAAGTTTTATCATGGTTTCTATCAAGAAATTATCTGAACTCTTCTTGATCTTTTATAATACAGTGAAGAAAGAAAAATGAATAGCCAAATCCAAGCTTGATGGATTGGAGTGTTATATGATAGGAAGATACTAGCCAAGTGGAAGGGGACAGTTGTGTGACCAGCCATAACCTATAATACAGAGACCTTAACATTAAAGAATGAAACATAAGAATTACAGGTAGCAGAAATGTCTGGGATAACAAACACTGATCAAATCAAAAGTGAATACATTTGAGATATAGTTAAAGTAACTGCTATTGCCAACAAAAATACATGAAGAAAGGTAATGCTAATATAAGCATGTCACAAGAAGGAATTACAGTTATCTCAGAAGGCAAGTTGTAAATATAGAAATCAAAGAAAAGCAGAAGACGACCAAGGATGAGATGAATGGATGTAGTTGAAATAGACATGAAGGAAAATGGATTGAGAAAAGATATGACTGCAAATCAAATACAGTGGAGGAAACTCATTAAATACAGTGATCCTACTTCACCTTGACTCAGTAGGTCAAGCTGAAGAAAAATAATATGAAAACATTATTATACATTTTGTTGAATTCTACTTTCTCGTATTTTTTGTCAATTTATCAATTTTTTAAATACTTTGTTATGAGGTAGCAAGAAAATATATAAGCCTAATGTATAATCTATGTCTATGCCTTTCCAGGGATATGCAATGGGCGACTGAGTGCCTTGAGTGGATGTTTCTGACCGAGGGCACAAGTGTGTCCCCAGTTGGCACCGTATTAACCATCGATGGTTATACATTAGGCCTAATTATGCATATATATACTGGAAGAGGACATCGGACTGAAGGTCCAGGTAGCGTAACTGTCAACATGTCCATACGATAAGCGGGAGTTGTGGGTTCCAGTCCTGCTTCGGGCCGATTCTTTTCTTCCAGTTTATTCTAAATTAATTAATTAAATATTATAATTATTAATTTTAATACGAGATGGTGCTAATGCCTCCCTCTAGTGCCAAATTTATTTGTAATTTATAATTATTATTTCCAAAATATAGCCCGATTTATTTACAGCATTGTGGATGTCTATTTGATAATACATATAACAAAATTGGTAGAATCACATTGGCATCCAGAATAACATAACTTAGGCTCAGCACTACACTGGTGAAAGGTTGCTGACCCGATTTATCCAATATTTTATTAATTTTGTAGATTGTAGTGCTATAGTTTAATACATATGAGGCAAATTACAGCTATTTCAAAATAACAATAAAAAAATTATTTTTCATTTCTTGGAAATATATAAAGTGGCCCAAAAATCAATTATCTGAATGTATTTCAAATCATTTTAACGACATTTTAAGATTATTATTGAATAATTATATTTTAATTTACTAATTTTAGGTCACCTGTGTTTATGGAAATATTTTAATACAAAAAATTTTTATAAATTTCATATCTAGAAAACTGTCAATAATATTATTTAAATTTATATTTTCATGAAGAAAATATAATTTTCTGAACAGAATTATTTTTATCTTTGAAAATTTTTGGATATTGCACCTTTAACATTGCTCTATCTGGGCAACTATCCATTTACTTCATCCTTGTTATGAAAGTAGGGGAATGCAATTCCCCTACTTCCATAACAAGGATGAGGTAAATGGATGTTGCCCAGTTAGCCGTTGTATTGCTTGCGTTCTATTTTACGTTCATTTTTGTTTTAAAGTGGCTTAACTGAAGAAGACTATTAAATATAGTCGAAAACGTTTTTATTTTATTAAATACTTCGTTGCTGGAAATACTAAGGTGTTTGATTATTTTAAGTATTTATATTCCAGTAAGTTATTTTATTTTATTGTTTCATTCTGAGAAGTTTGATTTTTCTTAGAAATTTCTACAGATATGTCCTTATATGGAAATAAAACATTCATTTTTTGTATGATGGTTTCTTTTTACAACATTATAATAATTATTATTATTATTTCCTTCTATACAAAAATTAGAAAAAATTTTCTTTTTTTGCACAAATTCTAGGCCCACTTCCGAAGCTTCACAACCACAATGAGATCTCGCACCATCTCAAAATCTTCCTAGGGCAGCCTCTGGTTCGGCCCATGGAAAAAGTTTTCTTTCCAATTCGGCCCGGGGGCAAAAACTGTTGGCCACCCCTGATTTAGATAGTAGTTAAAGATCTAACAAATCCAGTTCCAATTCTTATTGTATACAGTATTCCATTTGATTTTTGATTAGGACTACATCTAGTTGTGGGGTTGCAAGATGCTATTTCTAATATGCAAGACTTCTCTGAGACACCTTTTTCTGGAAGATAAATGTTTTTATTTCTTTGATCGAACTTTTTAAAATATTTTCCACTTTTTTTCATTGAGAACTGAATTTTATTTAAAAAAGTTCTTTACTAAAAATCTGTTAATATCAAACTCACTGTATAATTACGTATTTTTTCATTTAATAATGTGAAAACAGTTCAGAGTTCTTTACAAATAATGAAAAACAAACTGCTTTTCTTGATGTCATGTTATTTGTAAATAAAGGTGAACTCCAGAAAAGTAGTTTGTTTTTTGTTATGTATTATTTCTGCTGTAAAGTTCTAACTTAGGTTCTAAATGCTTTTATTTTAATAATCAGATGAATATTATCCCTTAATTGTTTAAGCTATGCCTAAAGATAAGCTGAAATGTGTGGAGAGATGCTATAAAGTTAAATAAAAAGAAATTTTTGTGGTGATGTGAGAACATATTGTAAAACTTCAAGGGGTGTAGGCATCAGAAAAAATTAAGAATCACTACATTAGCTAAATAACTGAATACTCTTGCTACCTCACATCATTATCAATCACATAATTCTAGAGTATTTAGAACTTAATCATAATTTTTAAAATTAAATTATTCATAATTATATTTTTCTCTAGGACAACTTTTATTTTAATAAGAGCTGCCATATATCAATTTGTTCTTATTCCTGTCATCTCATTTATCATTGATGAAATATTTATTGCTGTAAATATTAATGCAGAAGCTGAGGTATGATATTGAAAAATTATATACCTTACACTAAATATATGAATACATTTTAAAACTACTTTACTAATATTTTTATAATATCTTTCATTATTAGTTTGCTGAGTAAAATATTGCATTTATATTTAAAATATAAAATTATTCATAATTTATTATATTTGTTTTCTTAGTAATGTATTACAAAATTAAGTATTTTCAATTTTCATTTTTAAAAATAATTGCTTTATTCTAAATAACATGTATATATATATATATATATATATTTAATTATTGATATATGCTTGTACTGTACAATTGTTGATACATGGTTACTGGGTCAATGGCAGTTTAAAAATTAAATAGTTTAATAAAGATTTAAGCAGATGCTGATCTGAAGAGAAAAAATCAGACATTCTTACCTTTCTTAGTTATCTCTTGTGTGACCACCTTATTCTTCCTGATATACCCAAGGTTGGCTGATTGCACAGGTGTATCCTATATTGTAGGTTGTGATAAAATGGAGTCAGAGATAAAGTTCAAAAGTATACACTTTATTAGTATTCAATACTAATAAAGTGTATACTTTTGAACTTGGTCTCTGACTCTATTTCATTATTTAACCTACAAGGTGTGATAAGTCTATGCAATCAGCTAACTTTGGGCTACATCAGAAAGCATTAATCCAGACAAGAAGTGAGAATATTTACACCTTATTCTTATTAACTTTTGGGCAGTGTAGATTGTATGATGTGAAGCAAAGCAGGATAAGACCATTGAGGAGTGTAGATGGAGTCAAATATACAAATACCTGAAATTGACAAAATAAAAATTGTACCACTTTGGCTTGCAAAAAATATGTCCACTTTAGGCAATAAATCTCACTCTGATTTACTCCAACTATTTGCAAAAATCTGATAATTGTGAGCACCACAAACTCGGAATAATTGTCAATCATATCTGTCATTTTGTTTGCTTGCCAAAATTTAGACTAGTGAATGGAGGACAACAGCACATGCTACTGCTGCTACCATTACTACATCACAACCCCACATTCCCATTCTATGCCATTAAAGTTGCACATCAAATAATCCAGATGATAAATTAAGGTAGGTCATAAATAATCCATATCTGTGCCTTTTAGTATGAGATCATCATTGTAAATTGTTAGTGATATTAGTTTATTTAGAATTTTAAAATTTATTTCATTGTATAAAAAACATAAATAGTAGAATTTTATTCTACTATTTATGTTTTTTATACAGTGAAATATATTTTCAAAATTTATTAAAGAAAAACAAAACAAAAATTAGACTTTTAAAATACCTTCTGATATAAAATAAAATAATGCATAAAGCAAACATTTCTCTCCCTCTTTAATAGACATATATATAAATGTATTCAGTTTGTAACATGATTATTAGTCTCATGTCACAGTTGGCAAATAAGCCCAATATTTGATCAATTACATTTTAATTTCCTATGAATACTCAAAGCTCACAAAATCTATATATTTATATAAAACTAAAATGAAATTGAATGTAAAAATATCTTTTTCAAATGTTAAATTTGTTCATATCTTCAAGTACATTTTAAATTAAAGGCACTATCATTTAAAGATAAAAAATTATGATTAAAAATGTAATTATAACTTTTTTTTAAAAATAACAATATCTTAATAAATTTCTTATATTCAGAACACACAAAATTTTACATTGATAATCATATCATTTTAGAAATTACAGTTGCAAAGGTGTGTAAAACCATTATATTCAAGAACTAGATTTATATATTTAGGACCTGCAGTAAATGGTTGAAGTAAATACTTCTTTCCTTGAAAATTTTTACTACAAACTAAACAAAACACCTATTGTAATTTATAAATTCATTAATATAGATTACAACTAAGTACCATTTTATGAGTATTTTCAAAAAAATACATGTAAATTCTCATAAATATATTTAATTACCATATTTCCATGCATATAATTCATGAATTATCTGTGTTTAAAAGATGTGCAGGATATATGCCAATTTTAAATTTTAATTATGAACTTGTGTCTATAGAGCAATATAAATTCCCATATAGATGCAGCAGGGTGTATGGTAGTATAGGTTATGCAAGCATTTATTAACGACAACCATAACAACGCGATGTGTTACAAAAAATCGTACTATTTCGTCACACTGGAAATAGGTTCTAGGAGTATGATTTTTTCAAACATTTATTTTTGTTCTGGAAGTTTTCTATGGGTTATATGCACAAAAATATGCTAAAATTGAAAATGATTACTTAAATATCCATATTCTTCAGATGTTATGTAGATAATGAAAAAAGGGCTGTGTAGCTGCTTCAGCTACTTTATGGTAGATGCAATCCTGATTGTGCATATTTAGCATGTTTGACAAGAATACCTTGAAATATATTTTTCATGTTATATGTCAAATTTCTTAAAATTACATTTGATGATAAGTTTTACATGAAAGAATGCTTAATTAATCTGAAAAAAAAAGAATGCTGTTGCAAATATATCAGTCTGTTAATACTTTTTGATGTTAATAAACAATGAGTAAGTAGACTTGATGAATAATAATATCTAACAGACATTACATTATTCAATACAATCAAATAAATTCAAAAATTTGAATTTAAAAAAAGAAACAGCTTTTAAGTTCTATGCACATTTTTATAATGTTTTTTACTAATATAATTATGAAGAAACCAAATCTTATATCCACGTATTAAAAACTTTTAAAAATGTTCATGTCAAAAGATTAACAGATTTATTTATAATATCATATCTTTCTTTTTTTAAAAAAATAAACATTATATGTAACATATCTATTTTGAAGATATTAAATACATCATTTGAAGTATAACAAACATCTCAAAGCCCAATAAGTATATAGAAACATCCAATAATTGCTTAAATGATCAGGCTACAATTCTGCTAAATTTTAAATAATTAATACAAAGTAATTTGCTACTAGAGATGGCACCTAAAGTCTACCTCTGGTAGCAAATTACTTTTTATTAATTATTTAAAATTTAGCAGAAATATAGCCTGATCATTTAAGCAATCATTGGATGTTTCTACATCATTTGAAATTTTTGCAAGATATTTTTGCCTATTTCTACCACCATCATAATTGTCATCGTATTATATTTATCAAATCAAATACGCTCTAATAGTAATAAATTTAGCTCTAGAAATTTTGATCTTTGCAATTCATACTGTTTTTTGAATGCAGTGTGATTGCAAAGGTTAAAAAAATTTTTCTGTGATATTTTTTTAAAAAGTGTAAATAAATGATTTTGAGGTCACTGTAATAATATTTTACATATATTATATTAGGGGCTGTCTATTAATTACATTGACAGTTTAGACTTCTTCCTTCCCTGTTATATACAATAGTGTACTTTTCAAGTCACCTTCCCTCTACTTACATGTATAGTACAATAGTTTATGGACCTCTAATATTGAAGAAATGAATTAAAAAGCCTATAATAACAAATTTGTATGCCAGTAAATACTACCTAAAAGATTTATGTAGATAATGTTTTCATCTCCCTCCCTCCCCATCATCTACATTCATGTACTTTTCACAACTCCTTCCTTCCCCTTAGACCAAACATATGCTTACCCTTTAACATACCTTTAGACCGCATGGCCAACATATGGCCCACGGACCGGATCCGGTCTATCTAATAAATTTATGTGGCCTGTCATCAATCTTTCAAAGTAGCTCGATGAAAAATTCTGACGCCNATGTATATAAACTAAATTTTATAACAATAATAATAATAATAATAATAGATCATATTTTTGACCTCATTTGATATTATATCCATGGAGAAGCAATTTAATAATTACGCTATTTATAAATCAAACTCTCCTATAATTTTTTTTCCATTTCACTTTTTCATGAGGTAAAAATTACTAAGCTCACGTCTTCTTATCTTTAGTTAATAACTTAAAATTTATTACCCATAAATTACTGCATAAGATAAGAGATTCCAAGAAACTATTCCAATTATTTCTCAACGTTTTAGTCTTTAAATTAATAAGGAATTATGAACATGGTGCCAATGTTAAGAATACATTTTTAATTTCAAGTCACCTGCTAATGTAATACTCTCAGATCAAACTAATACATTTTTCAAAAGAGGGAAAACGATACTTTAGTGATTGCTTCCCTCTTAGGGCCGTCTCAAAGGGACAAAGTCTAACAAGGGGAGGTAAGGGGAGGGTCGAAGTTCAGTGGACTTCCGTTCATTTCATTAAATTTTATACAATTTATGCATTTTATTATATTTATTTCAAAGTTTCTTATGTGTTTCGTTTCTATTTATGGTATTGTATCCATCATTCATAAACTGATAAAGGTTTTAAGGGGTGGTTGAGTTCTGTTGAACGTTCAAAGAGGGGAGGGGATTAAGGAAACTTGGACAAACTGGGATAATGGGGGAGGGGAGTAAAAATTTCAGGAAAAATGCCCCTTTCCAATTTATAGACAGCCCCTTACCATAACAACCTCCTCTCTCTTTTTGGCCAGATCCTCTTCCTATAGTCCTGTTTACTGTATACAAATCTGCAGAATAAAGGCTAGCTGTTTAATATAATAATTTATATATAAAATTTCGATTTATTTTCAAAAACAACGAATATAAAAGACGTTTTTCTTAACTTCTACACAATAACGTTTAACTAGATAGATAGCTGATTTATCATTGAAAAATCATGTCAGAAAAATGATAATTTATTCAGATATAGATTAACGTCCTTATTAGCATTCCAAATCCGTCCGAATATACTTTCAATAATCGATATTAATTAATCATTAATGAAATCAATAATAAATTTGACTTATATTCACTTAACAATTTGGTTTCCGTATATAACACGCACCGATATGTAATTAAAATATTTTCTGAATAAATTAAACTTATAATATTTGATTGATTGCTGAAGTGCTATTTTATGAGGTACTCGTGCTAAATTTACGAGTAAAGATTATGTGATTTATGGCATGTTAAACGCAAGCTACTCTACAACAATTATTAAAAATTTGTCTCGTCTCTGACGTTCTCTCTTACGTCATTTCCGTCAGCTGGAATAGTTACCAATCGCGTGCTACAAACACGTGGGCGGTCTTACCCTCTGCCATATCCTCCTATATAGTAATGGCTCGTCTCATCCCTGTACCTTTACCTTTTATATCAATCAGATCTTATCTATTTTTGTATGTACTATTGAGATTATAGACGCTATTGATGCAATGCATTATTTTAAAACATAAATCGTCAGTCTATGTATATTAAGCCAAGTAGATTTGTAAGTAACTTAAAATAATATTCATTCATTCTAATTAGGTCTTTGCCCTTAAGTGTTCTACTTTTGTTTCTAATGTCAAGGTTTCTTTTTGACCTACTTTCTTTTTATTTTTTGCTTTGTTGTAAATTGTCAATTATTCTTTCTGCTTAGGAATTCCTAATAAATATTATTAAATGCAGGTAATATTTTTAATATTAATTATATTATGTGAGATTAACAAATAATTTGTTTAATTAAAATTATCCATTTATTGCCATTTATATTTATATCAAATATTGGTCCAATTTTTTTCTTTAGTGCATATATTTCTTCTCTATATATAGCACTTATAAAATATATATATTAATTTAGTCTATAGATAAATATTTTAAAAGAAATCTATATATAAATAATAGTTAAATCACCTTTACCTATCAAATCTATGTAAAGATATCAAAAGTTTTATCACATATTCAAATGATACTTTGGTATTTTTAAGGAATTTTTTTCCTAAATAACTTTTATAATATTTCTATTAAAAATACCAATTTAGTTATAAAATAGTTTATTCAATGAATGATATATTCATCACTTTCAGAGTGAATTGCGTAAAATCAGTTTTCTGCCATTTCATCTCAATATATACAGTATATGTTTTCAATCTTAATTTAATATCATTTATCTGTAATGCAGGAAAGAAAAAATAAAATGGAATAAGTGAACAATGGTTTTCAAATATGAACTGTACACAGTTGGTGACTTCAAATTACATTCCAACAACTGCAGAATCCCTTGAAGGTAAGATATGAAAAACTTAAATATGACCTGTACTTTTAGTATCGATTAAGTTTTAAATGAATAAATAATAATTATTCATAGAATTTAATAAAAGTTTATTTATAGCATCTGGAACATTGGGAATTATTCTTATAACTGTTGGAGGATGTGTTGCTGCAACTATGTTAGGAATTTTTTTAGAAGAATCTATTTATTTGTATCACCATTGGCCACTTAAAATTTATTTATATACTGTAGGATGCCTTAGTGTTTTTCCGGTAAATAAGCTTAAAATAAAAGCCCTGATTTACATTATGTATGGTATTTATACGATTATATATTATCGTATTTTTAGATTTCTGGTCTTAGTTTATTTTTGTGCCTCTTGGTGCCAAGAGCTGGGAGAACTCTTACTGCATTTATTAAAGTGTAAGTTTTTAATTGAAATATTTTTACAGTTATAATTACATTTCTATTAACTATAATTATATGAATTAAATTAATTATTAAATGTGTATTTTATATTTTTAACATTTGAAATTGCAGAGTAAAATTTATAATTCTCAAAAACTCAATATATTAATTTAAATTTATATATTGTGATGAAAATCCTGTATTATTCATTCATATATATAACAGATCTGATTGAAATATATAAAAACTTGAATGGTAATCCATATGAAGATTAAATCTTTCAAGTCTAGCAAAGGGCTTAAAGAACAATCCATTAAAATTCTGAAATAAATAACCTGACCATGGCTACTAAAAGTACTGAAAATGTTTGTTCTTTAAATATATTGAGATTTCTGGACTTCAAAGATTTGATATTAATTTTGGGGGGCTATATCTTGCAAAAAATCACATGTAGAGGTATGGTTCCTTTGACTTTTTTGCTTATAAGAGTATGCTCTACAGCTCTGTTAAGGTCCCATCCGTCTCATTCAGAGCTTGAACTGAGCCATAATGAATGTATAAATTGTGCAGTTTATTTATGATCTTTCACAAGATAACATAAATAGCATACAATTATTTATTGTCTGTTTTCCCCCTGATAATTACTCAATTCATTGAACTTAGGCTTTCAAACAATAAGTATACAATTCATTAAACTTTAGCTTAAAATTTTTATAGTAATAAAATTTATATTATTAGCATTAGATATATAATTTTGTACAGAAATCTTTAAACAAAATAATGGTGTCTACTTCTAACATGATAGACTTGTCATATATTTCAGAAAATACATAAAAATTCTAAATTGATAGATTGCATTAATGAAAGGACAATTCATATTACACTTCAATGTACGGTACCATAAATTACTATAACAAAATATTCTTTACAATTTAAGAATTTTAAATTCCAAAAAGTTATATTATATTTAACAAATCAAAAATTAGGAAATTTACAATCATTGAAGGTGTAACATTAGACTACGGGAAATAGACTTGCACCACTTTCATAATAAATGATTATGCAATTTCATTTAACGATGAATTTTCAATTGATTAAAACTTATAGATATTTTAAAATATCAACTGTAAATTTTGTATATAAATAAAAAGTTTGCACTAAATTATATCTGAATTATTGTTTTCTCAAATTTTCCGAAAATAAACTTACACCAATTTCATAAGAAACTATCCATATATCCTTTTATTATTAAACATTCAGATTTAAAAAAAATCTCTTGTTTTACTTCTATAAAGATTGGGAGTTATTTTTTAAAAATAAATTAGAATTGTATATTCAGTCAAAAAAAGTATGGTAAATTCTGGCTATAGTTGATACCGATATACAAAAATATGAGACAAATAGATCTCATTTGGAAAGCTTGTTTAACAAATTTCCTCTTGCTTATGTATGATAGCAGATTCATTCTGTCAAAGGTCTATCTTAGTTTAATTTTAACATCATTTAAAAGCTTCTTTGATAAAAAGTATACTGTCATCACTATTTCTGTTGGTTAATCCAGTATTATTATTAAAGAGAAATATTGTTTTTTATTTTTACTTAATTACCTTAAAATTGCCATTTTCCTTCTGTTTATTACATGTCCAAATTTATATTGTTTCCTAATATATTTTAGATAAAAATTTTCAACACTTTACTGATTACTGATTGAATAAGATCTTTTCAAAGCCTGAAATTCTTCTTACTTTTATCAGCCATTTTGATAATACAGTAATTCTTTATTCTGATGTGGATATTGAACCAAATTTGTAAATATGATTAAGGAAAAACTTTGAGGATACAGATAAATGTGTTGTTCATCTGCACTATGCCTCTATGTGCATACTGTTAACTATGTATATGCATTTCTATTTCAGATATCTGCCATTTCCAATGATCTTCTTTTTCCAACTAGTCATTTGTTACATGGATAATAAAGAACGTACTGTTGAGAGATTATTAGGAAATAGCATCCCTCTACAAGGTCCTCCACTTTGTTGTATTTGCTGTTGGTGTCCATCACCATCTTTTACAAGGTAAAATATTTTATTCATAAAATAAATCATAATTTTATCAGTTACAAAATTTTAATCCATAATATGAAACAACATTATAAACCTAACCAAGCTAGGCAATAGCCCAAAATTGGCTTATCCTAAATTCAGATAAATAGTAAAGTTTGGCATTAAGAAGAGCATTCTGTCAAAACTTCTTATGATGAGTATTCAAAGCTTGAAAGATAATGCTAGGGCATACTGCACAGGCAACATGCAGACTCAATATCTAGAGACAATGAAAAATAGGCAAGAATTATTGGACATCATAAGGAGCAAATGAAGCTAAAGAAATGAACAACTATAAGAAGAATATTAAGGATGGAACCCTTAATATTGGTAGTGTGACAGGAAGAGGAAAATTTGCAGGCTGATGAGAAAGCAAAGATTGAACATACTGTATACTCAGGAAACTAGATGAAGTGAGACAAGGGAAGAGAATTAAGAGATTGCTATAAGATTTTCTGCAGTGGAGCTAACAAGCAAGGAAGAAATGACATCGGTATTATTTTGCCAAAAGAATTGTGTAACAGAAGTTTTGTATCAATTTTGTATTGGACACTGTTTCACATAAAAAAACGTAGTTAATTAACAATTAACTTTATTCACTCTGGGATACAACTGATTGGAGTGATGACTACACAAAAACTGACCCAGAGAAAGAAAAACATGTTCGAATTCCCATCTCGATGCCCTCTTGTGGCCTCTTGCAACAAGGAAGGTTACAACAAGAAGTATGCTGCAGAGAAGACAGTTTCATTCTGATTAATCAGACTTTGGAATGGAACTAAAGGTGATCAATGCATATGTCTCACAAGTTGGATGAACAAATGAAGAAAAAGATGATTTTTGGAATATGATAAAGGATGAGATACAAGTATTAGCAGAAACAAAGAGAATGATAATAGGAGTGACTTGAATGAACACATTGAAAGTCACAATGAAGGTATTAAACCAATCCATGGAGAATATAGAATTGGACAGGTATCACCAGAAGGTAAACAAATCATAAATTTTGCAATAGCATCAAACATGCCTTAGGAAATTCTTTTTTAAAAAGAATATAGAGTACTTCCTCATATACAAAAGTGATATCATACTTGTTTACAAATTGATTTTATCTTATTGATTAAAAAACATTTCAAAGAAACAAAGAATTGTGAAATCATACCAGTGATTATGTATTAGCACAACACTGACTATGCTGCATAAACCTATAGATAGAGATTACAATATTAAAAATAATTGTAATGTAGCAGTGTGTGAGGAGGAAGATAAACTAAAAAAAAAGAACCAAAACAAGTTCAAAGCAGTGATACTATAGAACACATATGTGAGAACACACAGAAGTAATGGACTGAGAATGCCTATACTCAAGGAGTATGGAAAGGAAATACTAGGGAAAACATCAGGAAGGTTATAAGAAAACTAGTGGTGAAATGCATAAGCAGCAGTGCAAACAAAGAATCAGCAAAGAAAAGATGGGAAGAAACAGTGCTAACTATAGATTTTGGGAGTACAGATAGAAAAAAATAAGAAAAAAAATTGCCAAAATTAAGGCCAAAGTGTATGAAGAAATGTGTAATGAAATAGAAACTAGGAAAGGCCAGAAGATATGTAGACTGGCAAAACATCAAACATAGTTAATAAAGATATCACACAGGTGAAGCAGATAAAAGTAAGCAATGGAGAAATATAGTGTAGATAGGAAGAATATTTCTCAGAACTACTTTATGGACAAGTAATGAGGTGAAAATAGAAACAGAAAAATCAAATGCAGAAATCTATGGTTCCTTTGACTTCCTGGCAGGTAAATGGAAAAGTAGTTGGACCATATGTGATCCAATGGAGACATGGAAAATCTTGGAAAAGAGGGAATAGATATATTATGGAATTTAATTTATAAAGCACATCAGCAAAAGCAGATACCAAATGAATGGAAAAAAGTATAATCATTTCAGTTTTCAAAAGCTAAGGGAATGTTCAGGACTGCAGGAACTATGGAGGCCTAAAGTTCATACACACTGAAGCTATGGGAAAGAATCTAGACAGAAAACAGGGAAGAAGTAGCTATAAAGGAAGGATAGTTTTGTTTCATTCCAAGAAAATCAATTACAAGATTTGATCTAAGATAGACGATAAAAAAGTTCAGAGAAAAAATGGCAGGAACTATATCTGACTTTTGTCAATACAGAGAAGGCCCCCACCACCTGGCCACCCCATTGTGGTCCTAGCTGAACCCATAACAGGCTTGCTAAAAGAAGCTGTCTTAGTTAGTGCCCACAGGGTAAAAAGAGTTAAAACAAAAATATAGAGACGGCTTATGGTAGTCTCTAGAGATGTAATCTGGTACATCATGAAAAACAAGAATGTACCTGAAATGTATGTAAAGTTGATTCAGGTAACATACAATGAAGTGTCTGCTAGAGTGAGAAGCAGTCTGGAAAAACAAATAGCTTTGAAGTAAAGATAAGACTTCAGGATTTGGTTTTAAGTCCCTTTCTTTTTAACACTATGATGGCAGTAGCAACAGAAAAGACCAGATGAAAAAAATCATGGAGTGTATTATATGCAGATGACATTGTTCTCTGTTCAGAGACAAGAAATAGAGCACAAGAGAAACTGAAAAGTTGGAATAAAGCAGTGAAAGAAAATGGTCTAAAAGTTTAAAAGAGCAAGACAGAACACACTTACTGTAAAAGTAAAGAAAGAAACAGTCAGAACTTTAGGAGAGAGTATCAAGAGAGTTTAGTTTCAAATATCTTGGTTTGATAATGTATAGCATTATTTTCAATTCCTGATTCATCTATAAATATAAGCTTATTCTTTGGAAGTTTTGCAATTATTTCTTGAAACTTTTTCTTTGCTCCAGCATTACTTTTCAGATGAGAAAGTTTTTTATAGCTGCAATCAAGTTTTATTACTGCTCATTGTATTGTTGTCACAGATACACTTTTTGGCCACATCTTTGATAGTTCTTGTAAAGTTTTATCATGGTTTCTATCAAGAAATTATCTGAACTCTTCTTGATCTTTTATAATACAGTGAAGAAAGAAAAATGAATAGCCAAATCCAAGCTTGATGGATTGGAGTGTTATATGATAGGAAGATACTAGCCAAGTGGAAGGGGACAGTTGTGTGACCAGCCATAACCTATAATACAGAGACCTTAACATTAAAGAATGAAACATAAGAATTACAGGTAGCAGAAATGTCTGGGATAACAAACACTGATCAAATCAAAAGTGAATACATTTGAGATATAGTTAAAGTAACTGCTATTGCCAACAAAAATACATGAAGAAAGGTAATGCTAATATAAGCATGTCACAAGAAGGAATTACAGTTATCTCAGAAGGCAAGTTGTAAATATAGAAATCAAAGAAAAGCAGAAGAAGACCAAGGATGAGATGAATGGATGTAGTTGAAATAGACATGAAGGAAAATGGATTGAGAAAAGATATGACTGCAAATCAAATACAGTGGAGGAAACTCATTAAATACAGTGATCCTACTTCACCTTGACTCAGTAGGTCAAGCTGAAGAAAAATAATATGAAAACATTATTATACATTTTGTTGAATTCTACTTTCTCGTATTTTTTGTCAATTTATCAATTTTTTAAATACTTTGTTATGAGGTAGCAAGAAAATATATAAGCCTAATGTATAATCTATGTCTATGCCTTTCCAGGGATATGCAATGGGCGACTGAGTGCCTTGAGTGGATGTTTCTGACCGAGGGCACAAGTGTGTCCCCAGTTGGCACCGTATTAACCATCGATGGTTATACATTAGGCCTAATTATGCATATATATACTGGAAGAGGACATCGAACTGAAGGTCCAGGTAGCGTAACTGTCAACATGTCCATACGATAAGCGGGAGTTGTGGGTTCCAGTCCTGCTTCGGGCCGATTCTTTTCTTCCAGTTTATTCTAAATTAATTAATTAAATATTATAATTATTAATTTTAATACGAGATGGTGCCTAACGCCTCCTTCTAGTACCTAATTTATTTGTAATTCATAATTAATATTTCCAAATTATAGCCCAATTATTTATGGCAATCATGGGTCTCTATTTGCTAATCATTGGGTTTCGGTAGATGTTTATATCTGTAGCTATCCTTGAAGGCAAAATTCCTGGAAAGAAAGGAAGAGGAAGATCAAGGAAAAAATATTTGGAAGAGGTCAGTGATTCCTAAACTTTTTCAAGCCACTGCTCTCATGGTTTCATAAATTGCACCCATACCCATCAGCAACTGTCCCATCTGTACCTTAATACAGCCAACCCATTTTTTCCTTATGTGAGAAAGGCTTGGAAATATTCTTAGAAAAGCTTTTCTAAAAATCTCACACTACCATACATTGTTCTCATCTGGAAACCATTAAACACAATGTTTCTTCTTACCAGTTTAAACAAAGAAAAGGGAAAGATCATTGACATGAACCCTCAGTTTTGGTCATTGCTGCTTATTGTTTCTTTTTGGTTCCCCTATATTTATTCACTGCCTCCAGGAAGTGAATAACATCCATGTTGGGAACCAGTGTTCTATGGAGTTCCAAGATTATTATGAATTAAAATGGACTACAGTGGACAGAAAGTGTTGGTTGCAGTGACAGTAAAATTTTAAATAATAGATAGATAAATTTATTAGTGTGAGAGCCCAGACTTGACAAAATTTTTGAATAAAAATTTTCATTGGTTATGTTCAGATTTGTTAAAACTTTTCCCAGGATTATTAAATGTAAAAGATATGATTGTATCTCTTATCCAGAGTCACTTCCTTTCCAAGATGATACATCGAATATGTCACCAGAAACCTAATGAATAAATTGCTATTGGGCATGGAGATTTATGCTATCAAAAAAGGGTATGAGAAGTAAGAGGGAGGACCCCCAAATAAAAGGCATGTGCGATGACAACATGAGAGTTTGTCCATCACAGAGGGTCTATTGTCATTGAAAGTTTGCCCTCTCTAGAGTTTGTACGAGTTCTCAGATACTTTATACACATTGAAAATTGTCATCTAATCATCTCCTAGTGACTTCCCTCCATCCAACGACATGCCTGTTACCTGGACAATCTGTTTACCTACTATCAAGAGCCTTCTGTTGAAAACTTCTTAGTCATCAATTCGTCAAGTCATCAAACTGATCAACAAATGAAGAAATCCTCAAATTTTCTACAAGGTATTTATTTGCCCACAAATCTATGTAAACTCTTCTCTCAAGACTGAGAGTTGCGAGGATAGTTACAATAGCCTTTAGTTATAATATACTAGTCTTATATAATATACAAAGAGATAGCCAACAGTTATAATAGACAATATGATAACCAATAACTAATGTTCACTCTTTCAAATGCTAAATATGTATGATTCCTATTTGTAAATAGCTTATGATAAATACCAGTTTATTGCCCTTCCTTAAGACGCATTGTCTCTCAACCTGTCTCCATCTTGGATCCGACTGCCTACATATGCAACCGCTCGCACAAAAGTGAACTTAGCAGCCATTGAGGTTTCTGTGTCTGTCCACAAGACACAGTGGTGTCAGAATCCTGACGTGGCATCAACAAAGTGGTGCAGAAGCATAGGGGTTTTTCATGCACAATTTCATTAATGTTACTAGATGTAGTTTTTAGCATTTGATTGATTGTTTGTTTAAAATTTCTTATATAAGTATATCAAACATTTTGAAGCCTGATATGCATATAGAAACATTACTAAACGATTGTCTTAAATAATCGAGCTGAGTGCCGTTGTAGTATTATACTTAGGCTGTGGACATAGTTGTTGTTCCAAGCCTGTGACATGATTAACTGCGTAAGGTTATATCTAAATTTAATACATCTGGAAGCAAAGGCTAGTCGGGGTCTAGATGGTGCAACTGGCAAATGCACTGCATAGCAAGCAGAGGTTGCAGGTTCAAGCCCTGCCCTGGGTCAGTTCTTTTCTTCCAGATGATTCTA